TTAGCTTGAGTTTTGGAAAGTAAGCATATTTTGTTGAGGTTTATGAGAAGTGGATTTTGTTAAAGTTTTGAGATTTGCTATGAAACACAATAGTTTGGGGGGAAAAAAAGAGTCACTGATGTGTTTACTGGGCCATGGGTGGATGACTGACAATGGGTGATATCACTAATAGGCAATTATAACATCCAGCATTCCACAACTATTTAATACTTTGTTTTGAAGAAATATAGCTTCCAAAAGAACAAAAAGACAATCTAAATATTTATTTGGATGGTTGCATAACAAAATAATGTTAAATATATAAAGTAAGATTAATCCCAACCTAAAAAAGCATCATGGAACTTGAACATGGAAAGGGGTCTAAATGAATTTTTTGGAATACTTTTTGCATTTCCCATGGAAACGTAGATAGTAGCTAGGCTTCCAGTGTGACCCACACAAAAGTTCTGTTAAATATTAGGTACATGTATGGCTGTAAAGCGTAACAGTGAAAGAACAAGGACTTTATAGAGCCCAAGACACCAGGGCCCCAGGTCTGGCTGTATTCTTCATTAGCAGTATTTCCACAAGAAGGTATGTCCCGCAGTCTCACCTGGAGCACAGCAGGACTCCTGACAGCGAGAGTGTCTTGGGCAGGAGCCTCTGATGTCCATGGCGGGCTCAGGTGGGCGGTCATGAGTGGAGTCTGAGTAAAAGAGCACCCCGCTATAAACTGGCTGGACGGAGTTAACGCTGTCAGGCCAGTCTTATGGCAGGGATATCATCTTACCATAACTACTCTCAGTCTTCAGATGCTTGTGAATCTCAACTGTCCACATGAACATTCTAATGAGGACAAAAATGGGTTCAGCCTTAATGAGGAGAAGGTTCATGTGACCCAATCAGGTTTCCTCTTATCTAGACATGCCTTGCAAATATCTGGGCAAATTCCACCCCCCCCAATCTATATGGCAACTATATTATAATACAACTGCCTTTTTACAAACAAAAGGAAGCATTTGTTGTAAGACACATCTATATGGATCAATAAAATGTTCCTATATCTACTCAGTGCTTACAAGGGAAATATCTGCGTAATATATGTCTTCTAGGAAAACAAACTCTTGGGCAGAGCTGTCACTCACCAATACCATGCCACAGAAAAGACAAACAAGACAGAGCCTAGGCCCGAGGGACAGCTGACTGCCTACTGAGGTCATTCAGGAGAAATGCTTGGGAAATGTTCACAATTTAGAATGGCCATGGCTAGAACGGTAATTAAGCAAACCACTGGAGGATGCTATCAATAAATGAGTAAAAATCAGAATATCATATACTCATAATGGTTTTTTTTCTCCCTCAGATACTCTTAAAAGCTCAGATGTTACTATTATTAGACAAAACACCAACATCAAGAAAGCTAAAATAACACACTATTTGAAGAAGATGTTACAATAAGATTAAGAAAACTCCCAATTCACTGTTTACACTAATTCACTGTATGACTGGATAGTTCCATTTAAAATGTTTCTTATTTTCCCTAATTTATAGATTAGAATGATTACTGGAGATGTAACACAGTTTGGGCCAGATCTTTGTACCACTTCACCTCTGCCTGTCTAAAACAACATCTGAAGGTGAGATGCCATGACACTTGACGGAGAACAAAGCTTGCTTACTACAAAAAGCACAAAGATGTGACAACTTAAGAGTTTTGTTTAAAGCTCTAAAATGCCTTTTCACTAAATCAGATTTTCATTTACATTAAACTGTCATGCAAAGATGATTTATTGTTATACTTAAGAAAATACAGAAAACAAATCTTTGGAATTTAAACATATATATACAACATTTTTTCTCTTCTTATTTTAATGAAATTATGATTCACTAAACATGCATAATTCTTTTTGCTGTCTACTATAATTTTTCCCCTAGAGGTACTTTATGGGCCCCATTCCTTGTTTTACAGGCAAACTCTAGGATCCTGGTTTATTGTCTTTACAAATAAAATTAGAGATGAAAGACTAATGAAAGAACCAGCCATTGTAGCAAACTGGAGGCATTCTCTGTGTTCTTACCTTCCTCTAGTGGCCTTCTGTAGCACCTTCATGCCCACCAGTCTGCAGGACTTCCCTTCCAACTGTCTTCCCTTCAAGATGGCGGCCTCCAAGTGCACTTCACCAAACATTCCACAGGCATCTTGCACCAGAAGACAGATTCTGTAAAAAAGCATTCATGTTTGTTCATTTTTTTGTTTTTTATTTGTAGAGATGGGGTCTTGCTATGTTGCTCAGGCTGGCCTCGAACTCCCAGGCTCAAGCAATCCTTCCACCTCAGCCTCCCAAAGTGCTAGAATTATAGCTGTGAGCTACCATGCCCAGCCCACATTTGTTCTTTGAGGAGGCAGTATGGATTGATAAAGAAAGCAGAATTTCTCTCTCTTTTACTACAAATCCACCATAATCATCTTCCTACATAGATGAGTCAGGGTAAATGAAGTTGGATTCAAGCACACACCATTTGGATGTGTACATGCAGGTATTTGGATTACTATCCACAAAACACAGGAGATAGAATTCTCTTTCGGCATGAAACTAAACCCTAAGCCAAATGTGGCTGAAAAACATATAAAGATGACCAGCCTCTTAAACCAAATATACTACCACTGCCCAGAAACAGGATGTCCTCTTTCCCCATTTTTATCCTATTTCCCATGAGAAGAAACATTTATATTTTGTGTGGATGCTCAATACTGAGGAAAGCTTCAGAGTAACATTATGATAAGAACACCAACAAGGGGCTTTCTCTGAGAAGGTACATATTTACAGACATGCATGTCCCAGCAGGATAAAGCCAGTGTCTCAGCTTGCAGCAGTACAGACATGATGGATATCCAGTGATATGATGGGATTCCCCCTGACTTTTGGGTTCAGAGGGCAGTATTCACGAAAGTTTATTTATAATTGAATTTCCAATCTTCTCACTTCATAATTCAGGTAAATGAAATCTTATTTACCACAAAATGATGCATTCTCAGAAAACATTTCATGGAACCTGTTAGTCAGTAAATAACATCACAAAATGGACTGTGGGACATAAAATTATTTTAAAGATAAGAATATAAAGGAAAGTATATGTTGAAAAAGAACAGATGACAAACAATGAGCAAAGTAAAGCTATTAATAAATCTGAAGCCAGGAGCCTTAAGCACTGCCTTGGCAAAAGGGACAAGAACTCTAGACTCCTTGATGAAGACTTCCAGGTCCACAGGGCCCCCTGGTTTGCAAGAGAAGCAGAGGTATGTCGTGTCTGAAAGAAAGTATCTTTAATTGGATTGTCTACTTTGCCATGGAGTAAGATCAAACAAAAATGTGCTCAAATAAAACTCATCAAACACAAGGAAACAAACTATTATGTGGGGAGAGTCTAAAGAAATAACAATAGACCTGCTGAGGACTTGAGATATTAGAATTAACAGATATTAAATAGAGAATAACTATTTTAAATGGTAAAGTCCCCAAAATACAAATAGGAGAAACTATACAAAGGAAGTATACAAAGTGACTTGGCAGATTTGAAGAAGAATGAGATGTAATTTTCAAAAAGGAAAGATACAATTTATTGAAATAAAAAATCATTCAATAGGTATAGCAAATTGCTATATACGTCTGAAGAGTGTGTATATGGAATCTGGGTTATTAATCTGAATAAATTACACAGAATGTAGCTTGAGAGCAGAAAGAGAAAAACATGCGAGAAGAGTGGAGAAATACAGAGGAGAGAATGAGAAGGTCTAACATATGTGTAACAGGAATTCCAGAAGAGCAAGATAGGGGAAAGAGAGCCATAATGTACAGATAGAGTGAGAGAGAATTTTTCGCAGCTGAGCCAAGATACAGGAAGAAAAACAAATACCAAGAAGAACAACTGAATGGAAATCCATTTGAATATACACACTGTAATGAAACTAGAGCATACCAAAGATGAGAAGGAAAAGCAAGAAGCACACAATGAGAAGATTTTAAAAGACAAAACATCTGCAAAGAAATACAAATGTGATTTATATCAACCTTATCAAGAGCAATGAATGAAGCCAGAAGACAGTGAAATATTTTCAGAATTCAGAAAGCTATCTCAGAACTGTGTACCAGCAAAACTATCTTTCAAGAAGAATGGTAAAATAAGGACGTTTTCAAACAAAGAACAACTAGGAGCATTTTCCACTTATAGAGCCTGAAGAATTTACTAAGATTTACTAACTTCCTAATTACTAAAGTGATTTCTAAATTATGTACTTTAGGAAGAAGGAAATTATCCTGGAATAAAGATTTGAGCTACATGAAGGACTAGTGAGCAAAAACATAAACAAATCAAACATGCTAGAATAAAATAACAATACAACCAAAATTGCACTGTACTCCATAAGTTTATACCAATAAGAAAAAGGAAATTACAGTGGAAAAGAGACAACACTTTGAACTAGATGATAATAAAAATGCCACATGTCAAAACTTATGGATTACAATGATGTATTAGGGAATTTATAGCTTTAAATATAACAAACACAATGACTGTTCTTTTTCTATATACATTTTAAAATTAGTTTTTAATATACTTACCACGAAATCTACACAAAACCTCAATAAATTACCAAAATCTTCTCTGAGGATGCTGAACCTCACAGGTACTGCACCCTGCAGAGACTCTTCTAGAGCCTTCTGCCGTCTCCAACCCGATGGCTTGGCATCGTACCTGGGCACAGCACTCGCTCTGGGGTCTCTTGTCACAAAATCTGGGGGTTCCCCTTTGCTGCTCTACTATGTTGGATTTCCTGTTTCCTACATCCCATACCTTTCTTTCTTAAGTGACTTCAGTTCAGTATCTCCTATCTAGCTTCCTGAGAAGGAGAGAGTGAAAGGTAAAATTTTTTAAGCTGTTCATGAAATTGTTGATGATCTGTCCTCAAACTTTACAGGCAATTCGGCTGGATATAGACTTCTAGACTGGAATAACTCAAAGTCTAATCATGTTCTGTTTCCCTCCCTTGTCTTTGAGAGCTGAGATCTGTTTTAGTTTCCAGTATGCTGCGTGAGAGTAGGAATGAAAGTATACATTTTCATGTTGAATTTATAATGTCTCTTTTTGTCTGTAGGCCATTTAAAGGCCTCCTCATCCCCTAATTACCTCTTCCCCTGACTTGCCTCTCTGTTCCATGCCTAACTAGGGAGGCCCAGGCAGAGCCTTGGGGACCAGGCCAGAGGTGGACTGAGGTAGGACCAGGCTGCATTTCCTGGGAGGAAGCCCCAGGCTCTCCTATAAGAGGACAGAGCCAAAGTGGCCCTCGACCACGCAATTCTGTTAAGGCCTGCTCATCTACAACTACTACGCTTCTTAACATATACAAAAGGCAAGACAAATACAAAAATTCCCATGGATCCAAACATAAAATTTCTCTTTTTGATTGTTTATGTTGAGAAGGGAGAGGTGGGGAGCTGGCTAGCATCTTCACCTTTAAGTTTGCTCTGACATTCGCCCTTTTCTCAAATAACTGAGGAAGTGTGCTCTTGTCTACTCTTTAGCCCTAGAGACGAGTTGTCCCCGTTACCCTTCACCTTGTGTTCATGCACGGCCACACACGCTCTCCCACCCTGTTCTGCTATTGCAGCTGCAGCTCGGTGGCAGGCTGGCGCAGGCCCAAGGGGGAGTTGTCATCCCCACTGGTTCAACTGGATTGAAACTGGCATTCCACAGACAGCCCAAACCAGAGTTAGCTTATCAGCGGCCCACACAGAATTGCAGCCACTTGTCAATGCTTCCTGCTCAGTGAAACACTATCTCCTAAAATCAGCGCTAGTGTGACAGGTCTGAGCAGAAAAGGGCCCCATGATCAACTTGTTTTTCCTGAACCACCAGATATTTACCACAAATTATATCATATTCAGTGGAACATAGCAGCTTCCCAGGAAGGCAGCATCATGTCAGTAACTCTGGATCTTGCAAAAGTTACCTACGTGTAGGAGCTTGAATTTACTCATTTTAACACGAGAATAAGAGAACCTAACTTAGAGGGCTGTTGTGAGCATTAAAGGATTCACATCATACGGGTTTGGCATAGGGACTAGTAGATACATCTTTCCTTGGTGGAGTATTTTAGTCAACTTTTATAATAAAATTTTATAATTTTCTCTATATAGTTCTTGTACATGTTTTGTTAGATCTACGCCTAGATGGCCTATGTTTTGTGTGCTATTTTAAATGGTATTTTTGTTTGTTGTGTGTTGGTTTACAGTACAATTGACATGTATATTGAACTTTTATAATCAATCATTAAATTTTATTATTTATAATCCCTTTTATGTAGTTTTATGTAATCATTTCATAATTCCAATTTTGCTTCTCCCTTTCCAATCTTTATGCTTTTCAATTATTTTCTTTTCTGACTGCTTTTAGGACCTTCACGACAATGCTAGAGAGAAGCCAGTGGCTTTGGGCATCCTTACCTTGCTCTTGATTTTGAAGGAAATGTCTCCAAATGTTTCCAGTTAAGAATGTTTACTATAGTTTCTTTTTGGTAGATATCCTTCACCCAGTTAGGGATTCCTTGTTTGCTAAGAAATTATTTATCATGCATGGGTATTGGGTCTCATCAAATGCATTTTCCGTATTAGTTGAAATGATTATATGTTTCTCTCCCTTTAACTTTGTTAATGTGGTAAATGACAATTCCAAATTCTTTTCAAGTGTTAAAGTAATTTTTCACTCCTGACGTAAAGTCAAGATACTACTTGCTATGTTTTATTTATGATTTTTCTATCTATGTTCATGAGTGATACTGACCTTTAATTTATTTCTCATACTACATTTGGTATTGAGATCATTTATGTCAGCTTCATAGAATAAACTGATGAAGATTACTTTTTTCTTCGAAAAATTTAAAATAAAAATTTCGTATGTAAGACCTGAATGATCTGTGTTTTGACAATTTAGAAGAATTTGGCAATAAAATCACTTGGTTTTAATGCTTTTTCTTTCTGAAAAGAATTTAAACTCAATGTCTCTAATGATAATTGGACTATTTGGGCTTTCTAAAATTTTTTCTTGAGACATTTTGGTAACATTTTTTTCCAGGAATTTTTCCATTCTGTCTAAGTTTTCAAACTCATTGACATAAAGATGCTATAGTATTCTCTTACTACGTTTCTTTTCTTCAAGTTTTATTAATTTGACTAAAAA